TTTTTAGATAATTTATAAACTTCTCTTAACTAAAATATTATTTGTTAAGGTAAGTATACAAACTATTTATTTTTTAATCAACCAATTCTTTTTATTAATTTGTAAGTAAAAACTAATGTTATTTTAATTCACTTAAATAAGAATTTAAATTGTTGTTCGAAGGTGGTTTTTAATCTTATTAAGTAATCACTAAAGTAAGAATAGATTCAGTACTGTGTTAGCCAATTAAAGTATGTCATTGCTTAATGACTTATTTGGTCATTATAAAATATTTTAGGTTCACCAATGTTGTTCTGTAGTATTGATGGTTGTATACATTTTTATTTAATACCTTATGTCAACCATTTATACACTAGTTTTTGTGAACTGTACTAAAATAGCTTTAGATTTGACTTTTCACAAAATAAGGTGTATTATCATTAGTGGCACGAAATAACAAAAAACACTTCTATTATTATAACTATTTACTTTTATTTACATAAAACTCCACTAACACACCTTCTTTTTTCTAGGGAATTTTATTATTTAAGGATTTTTATATATCACACCAGTGGTAGTACATTACCTACCAAATAAGTTAGTACAATGACCTAATAATAATTTCTCTAATATTAAGTATTGTGGTTTAAGTAATGAAAAATAAAAAAGTTCCATATTTAGATTGTGTTTTGTGACATACTGAATATCAAAATATGAATCTATATTCATTGAAGTGAAAACTAATGGTTAGTTAGAGTCATTATATTTTCTTATTATTCTATTTGTCAGGACATAACATAATACTCTTAACTTTTATGTTTAAACATAAATCTGATTGATTTTTTTGTAAATTATTTTTGGTATCTCAATTAACTTTTTTTTACAATTTCATAAATTCAAGGAAAAGATTCTATTTTGAATATCTAAATGGAATATAAGTTTTATGAAACAAATAACATATAGTAAATAAACGTTATACTATATTCTTTCATAAATAACATTAATAATATTCTTATAGTTTTGAATAGACTAAAAGAAGTATTTATATAAATTAAAATTAGATAATTAATTTTATCTATGACTATTATCTAATTGTTACTTTTTAATACCAAACAAATTACTTAAATTGTTTTTATGATTATTTACATAATAGTAACTTAGTTATTTCTTTTTTTTTCATAGTTATTCTTGTTTCAAATCACAGCGATACTTACCTTGTTTTACCTTGCATTTATATTAATATTATTCTTTAATTAATATACTTTTGTTGTTTTATTCTGTCTACTATGCCTACTAAATTACTCCAATACTTTTTAATAAATGATACATACAATTTCTGTCATAAGACCAGACAGTGTTTCTACCAGAGAATACTACATAAGTTTTATTTAACTTTAGAGGAATAAACTAATATTTCTATTTTTAAGCAAGAACTGATATATACTTTCATTAAAAAAATAAAATAATTTTTAAATCAATATTAAATAAAAGTAATAATAGACAACCCATAGATAAAATAAATGAACTAGTTTTTTTGAATGAGCCAAGGTTTGGCAATTTGGATATTCGAGTTTTACATTAATAAAAGATTAAAAGTAGATTGTAAGGAAAATTTAAGAAAAAATAAGAAGAAAACCCCATACAAAACTATTTTTTTATAGTTTAGAATTTCAATATCAAAAAAGAAAAAAATATATTCTTTCAAAGAGATTAAAAATTAATAAAAACTAAAAAATAAAAGTTTTTAGTTTTATTTACAATAAATAATGTCATCAGAACAAATTCATATGACAAGTTCTTCAAAACAACGTTCAGTATTAATTGGAAGAAGGGCTGAACAAAGCAAATCATCTAATTCTCTTCCAGGGACACCATTACAACAAATATCATCACCTAAAAAGCAAGTTTCTTCATTATATTCATCAACACAAATAACAGAAACGTCTACCCCAACAGAAGAAGTTAAAGAAGTCATAAAAAAAGATGACAAGATAAATAAAGGATTATTTTGTGAATTACCAAGTGGTTCTCCAATTGAACAAAAACTCCAAGCCCTTCAATTGTATGAAGTAAACTTAGATAATTCATTAAAGAAATTATGTAAAACAAATCAACTCCATTTTAAACCAACATACACACAACAACAAAAAGAATTAATGCAACAAATTCTTGATCAGTATCCTAAAGAAATGTTTATTAACTGTTATTCATTTGGAGACCCAGGTGAAAATTCAAATGAATTAAATGGATTAAAAGAAATATTATATAAATTAGAAGAAACAATTCATACAGTAAATGAAAAACTAAATCCTCCTTTTGTTCTTCCTTATAGCAAAAGACAAACAATTCCTGATTTTGTTTATAAAATTGGAGATACTTATAATGTTCAAATGGAAATTCTTACTGTTAAAATGAGAATTAGAAAAGCTTATTATGAGTTATACGCTATGGTTAAATCAGCACAAATGTCAACTTATAAAGAAGATGTAGAATGTTTTAATGAAAAAGTTAATGTTCTCAGTGAAAGTCTAAAAAGAGAAAAAGAAAAAATTTCAAATCAAAAACGTTCTGCTTTTATTAAAGTTAGTCTTCAAACAGATTCTAAAGGTATTGAAACTGATGATAAAGGAGAAGTTGTTTCTGGTTCTATTGATGCATTAATAAGATGGGCAGTCAATCCAAATATTGATAATAATATTAAATTTATAGAAACATTACTTATTACTTACAGACAATATCTTGCTCCAACAGAATTTTTTAATAAATTAATTGGGTTATACAATGAAAACAAAAATGAATCAAATAATAAACAAATTAGAGATGTACAACATAAAACTATTCTTAAAATTCTTTTTATGTTATCTAAATGGATGTCTTCATTCCCTCATGACTTTATGGATGGTGGCAAAGAAGCATTATTACCTCTTTTGGACCAATTCATTAAACAAAATGAAAATGATACATTGTTGAAGAAAACCACACTTAATAAACAAATGATGATTCAAAGTGCTTCTCAAAAATTAACTATTGAAGAAAAACTTGATATAGTTAATGTTCAACAAGAATATACTATTTCTACTTTACCAACTGAACAGTTTGCTCAACAACTAACTTTATATGAATATGAATTATTTAAATCTATTGAAGCAAAAGAAATGTTAGGAAATGCTTGGACTAAAAGTGATAAAACAGAGAGAAGTCCAAATCTTTGTGCATTGATAGACCATTTTAACTCAATTACAAATTGGGTTATCTCTACTATTGTTGATGAATCAAATATAAAACAACGTGCAACAATTATCAAAAAATTTATTTCTATCGGAGAGGAGATGCTTCGATTAAATAATTATAACGGAGTTTTCGAAATGTTTTCTGGGCTGAACTCAACTCCAGTTGGTCGATTAAAAATGACATGGGAAGAAGTTGGTAATTTTTCAAAAAAAATGAAAGCATTAGAAAGGGTAACTATTCCAACAGGAAGTTATCAAGCATATCGTGCTGATATTAAATCTCATCAGTCATTCCCTTGTATTCCATTTTTTGGAGTCTACCTTCAAGACTTAACTTTTATTCATGAAGGTAATGAAGATAAAAATGAAAATGGTGATGTAAATTTTGTAAAATGTTCATTAACAACAAAAGTGATTGAAGATATGTTATTTTATAAAAGGTATTATGAGTATTACCGCAACCCAGAAATCCTTGCTTTTATTAGGAAGATTGAGATTAGATGTTTGACAATGGGTGAAAAAGAACTTTATGACAAGTCATTAATTATTGAACCACGTCAACAAAATTGATTAATTTTTATTTGTGCTTTGGTTATTATAAAATAAAAATAAATAAAATGATAATAAAAGTAACCCATTAATTCTTTTCAACAGTACCATAGAAGTTGCTTATTTAGCGATTTTCTTAGCAAGAGCAGCTTTGTAGGCAGCAATAGCATTCTTGGCCTTATGAACCTTAATTCCAGTTTTGTAAGCTCTAAGGGTTGGTTTAGACATAAGTTTTTCAGCCATTTTCTTTGATGGAATTCTAATTGATTTCTTTTCAGTAATTGGTTCAACTTTCTTTCCGAAAATATCCATAGTAAGAGCTGGATAAGCAGCAGTAAAGACTTTAGCTACTTCTTCGTTTCTCTTAGCAACGAGTTCCTTATATGATTTTCTACTTTCAGCTTTCTTGGCAAGGTATGCTTCACGATCCTTATTTAAGAATAATTTAGTAATAATAACATTAGATGGTCTAATAGCGATTGGAACAGTTTGTCCATTAGCTTTAGTCTTAGTTAATTTATCAATATTGATAACATATTTGCTTCTTCTAACAGCAGTAACTTTTCCAGCAACTTTTTGATGTCCCTTAATGATTTTAACTTCGTCGTCCTTGTGAATTGGGATGGCAATAACATTATACTTTTCTCTGAGTTCTTTAGAGAGTCTAGCACTCATTATGAGAGCTCTTTGGGAAGCATTAGCAGTGTAAAGAGCTTTTCTGGCTTTGCTTGGGTTTGAGCTAACTTTGCAATTGAATTTCATCCCTTTTCTCACAAAGATACTGACTGATTTTCCAGTACTAGGGTATCACCCCAATCAGAGTTCTTCTTTTCTTCATTTTTTATTATTCTTTTATTATATTCTCTTTATTTTTTATAATTTATTTTATTTGTTTCTTGTTTTTATCAGTTTTTAGTTTTATTTTTTAGGTTTTTGGGATGTATTACAAAAAAAAAACAATTAATTTTCAATCATCTTTGGTTACATCATGAGTATGAGCTAATTCGTCAGAGTGGGTTTGTGTTTTTATCACAGGGACAATAACCATCGTGAGGATAATTGGTTGTCCTAAAAGTAATAATAGAATATCGATTATCAAATAAAAAGCGAATGGAAAATCTACGATTAAGAAAGATGTAGATAAATAAACAAATTCTCCAAGAACAGCCACTGGGAATGTGATGATAAAGACATTAAGAATGGATGAAGTAGATAGAAGTTTAAAGCAATCATTAAAATACAAAGGGGCCATTACTATTGGGAGTGATAATTCAAGAAGAAATACATTTTTGATAGTTTCAGGATATTGGCAAATAGAAAAAGTTATAAGAAGAAGAGTTGCGAAATGAATGACACCAAGTATTCTTTCTACTTGTCCTCTGAAAAATATAATTAGTAACTAAATTAATTAATTATACTTCTTAAAGTTAAATCAGAAGGATTAAATAAAAAGGACAAACTCCAATTAAAGAAAATGATAACAAAAATAAATATAATTCAAATGTATTAAGGAATAAAGAAAAAGAATCGAATCCATTAATTTTAATTGTTATAATACATTTATATAAAGCATAACTCCATCCAAGAAACATTATTAAATAATATAATTTTAATAATCCATGAAAAAACAATTTAATTGAAGACATTAATAAACCAAAGACTGAATTTCAAGTTCTTTAATTAAAATAAATACTTTTAGATTGTTGAGACTGATCAATTTTACCAATTAATTCATTAAATGATTTAATAAATGGTTCATGTTCAATAGAAATTGGTTCTTTAATAATTACTTTAACAAAAACATAAAAATTAGTTTTTTTAAATTCTGGCATTTCTAGTAATTCGATATTATCATTTTCTTTTATTTCAATTTCCAAATTACCCAGAGAAAATGTTGTTTTCATCTTTAATCCAATTTCGATTGGATTTTCATCTGATGAATGCTCGAGAACAAATTGAGAAATAATAGGATTAATTTCATCTTTTAATTCTTGTGAAATATTTGAGTTGCATTTGCAACAAATAGGCAAAAGAATATCTTCAGTTAACAAAATATACCATTTACTTCGACTCATTAAAAATATAACTGATAATAATAAGTTAGTTTTGTAATAAAAAAAAAGTAGGAAATAATTGAAAATAAGATGAATATGGAAGATAGATAATATGTCAATTTTATTCTTCTGCTGGTATTTCTTCATCTTCTTGTGCCATTTCTTCATCGCTTAACTTTCTAACTTGAGTTAAGAAATCAATAAATTCTTCTTCAGTACATTCCATAGAAATAAATGGATCTTGTAACAATTCTTCTGCACTTGCTCTTTTTGGTGCATCAGGATTAAGACATTTATTTAGGAAATTTTTAAATTTATCATCCCAAGTACCTTCTAAAGGAGGTATTCCTTTTGTTGTAATTTGGAATAATGCTTTCATTGGTGGAAAATCCATATAAGGTGGGGTACCATCAGCCATTTCTCTACAAGTAATTCCTAATGACCAAATATCAACTTTTGTGTCATAGTTTTGTGATTTAATCAATTCAGGAGCCATCCAAAAAGGAGTTCCTACAATTGAATTACGATTAGGATGAGCTGAAGTAAGAATAGCTGCAAATCCAAAATTAGATAATTTAACTGTACCTTTATGATGTAGAAGAATATTATCTGATTTAATATCTCTATGAATAATGCCCATTTTATGAAGATAAACTAATCCTTGTAATACTCTTTTACATATATACGCAATATGACATTCTTTCATTGGTAAAGTTGGGTGAAGATCAATTGCATTTGTTAATTCTCCTGCATCCATTAATTCAGTAACTAACCAAAGCATATCATTAATTAAATAACATTCAACATATTTAACAATATTATCATTAACACATTTTGATAATACAACAACTTCTCTTACTACAGCTCGTTTAGTTTTCTTAGTAATTCTCATTCTTCTTAATGAAACTTCCATTCCATCAGATTTTCTTGTAGCCATATACTCATCTTCATCTCCATAAATTGTTTTAGCTAAATTTTCATAATTTTCATCAGGATCAGCTGCAGTTGTGTATTGAGTAATATCATCATCTTCTTCTTTTCCATTAGTAAACGTTGTTCTAGTTCCATTGTCATTTGAAATTCCAGAAGCAGCAACTAACTTTGCACTATCTTCATTTGTATTAATTTCAGCATCAGTCAAACCAGCTTGAATAAGTTTTTCTCTCCATTCTGGAGGAAATCCAGTAAGACCAGAATCACCAAGTTCAACATGAGTAATTTGTTCGAAATCTCTTGGATCAGAAATGACCAATTCTTCTTCGTCTTTCTTCTTCTTAAAGAAACTCATGAAACCTCCTTTTTTATCTTTTGATTTCTGCTTTTGATGATGGGTCTTTTCTTTTTTACTCATTTCTTTTTCATTTTGAGATTTTTTTAAGTTTTTTTCTCTTTTTAGGTTTTTTATAAATTTTTATAGAGTAACTTCTTTTTCTTTATAAATTTTATTCATTTCAAACTGTTTCATAAGAATAAAAGTCTTCCAACAAATAGTTCCAAGAGACTTTTACTTTGCGAGTTCTCTTTATTCAAAAAAATAAGATTATGTTATTTTGTACTTGAAAAAGAAGAAGATAAAATTTCATCTTTAAATAATAACAAAAGTCAAAAAATAATAAAAAAGAAAATCTTAAAAAAAAGAAAGAAAAAATTTGAGAGAGATTGTTCATATGACTAACGTGATTGATAGGTTAAATGAAATTCAATCAGAACTACAACCGTATGGCCTTACTCAACAAAATGCAGAACATTTCTTTGAAAAGAAAATTAAACAGATGAAAATTAAAGATATTGAAGAAATGGGACTTCTTTTGAATGAATTATTTCCTGGGTTTGGGTTTGAAAAGAAGAAAACAGGAATAAATAAAGAAGGGTATATCAAATATTTTTCTTATCTTATCCATCATCCAGTTGGGTCATACACAGATATCAAACAACGTCAATTTATTACTAAACATGAGAAATCACCAAGTAATAATATTATTCAAACTGATTTTGGTCATTATTTACAAGAAAGGACTTTTCTTATTGAACAAATGTTAAAAATCCCTGATCATCTTGATGAACAAGTTGATAAAGCACCAAAAAGAATTGATGCGTCTCAAGAATATTCTGGTGGTTTAAATAATTCAAATCAACCAAACGTTAATAGAAATGTTTCTAATATTAATGTGATGTTACATCCTTTATATAAAATTCAAAACACTCAACAAGTTCAATTTTCACCATCACAACTTCCTCTTGAATTTTTTGAAACACAACACCCTCAATACATGATTAATGAGATAGTATATTGTTCTGTATTTAATCCATCATTTACTACATCTCGGTTCACAATAACAACACCTTCTTCACAAATAAACAACCAAAGAATCATTCTTCGTTTATTTGATTTAAAGAGAAATAAAGAATGTAATGAAATTTATTTTATACAAACAAGTGTTAATTCTACATTCATTAATTTAGATGGGTTTTATGAACCATTATATGGCCAACCACATTCTGAACCAGCTATTGTTAGAAAGCCACTTGATATTACTACACTATGTTTTGCAACAAAAAATATGGTATCTATTATGGTTAATAAATATTCACCAGAAGTTATTATTGTAGCATGTTTATGTTCTTATAGAGAAGTTCCTCAATTATTAAGAGAAGTTCTTGAAGGAAATAATCGTAATGAAGCAAAAATGATTTATGAAATGATATGTAAAAAGAAAGCACCAAAAGTTAGTTCTATAGAAAAAGAAGTTGAGGTTATTGATTTGGATGATGAAAGCTGTATTTTGAATGAAAAAACAGAAGAACAAGAAGATGGCGAAAAAGATGATATCATTGTTGGAACAAATATTATTAGTCTTCGTTGTCCATTAAGTTTTTGTCCTATAACAACTCCCATTAAAGGAGTGTTATGTAAACATTCAACTGTAGTTAATGCAATTGGATTCATTGAGTATTGTCTAAAAAATAATTACTGGAATTGTCCATTATGTGAAAAAAAGTGTTATTATTGCTCATTAATTGTTGATCGTTCTCTTATGGAAATCATAAAAGGAGCTCCAAAAGATTGTATAAATGTAGAAATAGATACAAATGGTAAAGTAATTAAATACATAAATGATACAGGTAGTCAATGTGAAAATTCTGAAGATGTAGAAGTTATAAGTTCTGACTAACCTAAAACAAAATGTAATAAAAACAATTGAATATTAGTACCTATTAAGTTAAAAGAACTTGGGTTTATAATAAATATTTATGTTTTTATTAGAGACAGTAAGGTGGAATTACACATAAATCATCTTCAATCAGTTCATTAATTTTACAAAAACATTCTTTTCCAGTTGTTTTAACTTGCTGTTCTACATTTTCATTTAACGTTAATTGAGCAATATCAGTAGAACTTCTTAGTGATTGAAAAGTAATAAATATACCTTGAAGCTCTATTTCTCTAACTAACTTACGTATAGTATTAAATTCAATGAATTTTTTTCTTTCATAACCAGTAAGTCCATTGATTATAGCTTGTTCTTTAATAGTTTTTCTATTAAAAATAATTTCATCTTTTTGGTTTTTGATTATTAGTACTTTAAATTCATTTGGCTTAGTAGTGCTTGTCTTTTTGAATTCTAACGAATATCCTTTTTGATTTAAATAGTAAAAACATAACGCCTCAATATGTCTTCTTCGTTGACATAAATTTCTTTTATTTGACTTCTTTTTTCTTTCTTCTAATGTTCTTAAGACTTCTCTACAACAACAATAAATAGGACAATTCTCGGTTTGCATCAATAATAAGACTTTAAAGTTCTTTCTTTTGATCTTTTTATCTAATGTTTTGATGTTTTCACTTCAAACGAAAAGGTAAAAAAAACTCAACCATTCTTGAAGTTTTTTTTTTCATTAATACTCTAAGATTTTAGTTCTATACCTTTTACTTATTTTTGTTAATTATATCTTTCTGTTCTAGTTTCAGAGATTCTAACTAAATGAGTTAAAGAGTCTAAACCTCAAGATAAATTCAATAACAAATATTTTTTTTTTATTTTTGTTAAAGAATTGAAAGAATGGAATAAAAAAAATAAAATCAAGTTTAATTCATGTCTAAACTGTTTAAGAATTCCATGTCATCATTTGAAAGTTGATATTCGTCATCATTAGTATTTTGGATGAAAGCATCAGCAATTCTAATTAATCTTTCAGCTTTTTTTTGTTTAACTTTTTCTTGTAATACATCAACTTCTACTACCTTTCTTTTTTTAGGTTGTTTCTTTTTATAAATTTTCTTTACAATTGGCTTACATTTAGCATTTCGATATCTTCTTGGAATTTCAAAATCAATTGTAGAATTATTTAATTGAATATCATCAAGTTTTGGTGCTGATATAGTAGTATTAGTTTGATTTGTAGAATTGTTTGAAGCAGTAAAAACAGCATGCTCTACTTTAAATTGTCCAATCTCACCTATGTACTTTTTATTTTTTTCTAACTGTTCATCTACAAGTTTAGTGATTTCTGCTTTTTTCTTTTTGTTCAAAAGTTCAGCTTCATTTAGTTGTGTTTGATTAATTTTAGTTTCATTCTCATACTTTTGTAAACGAGTCCACAAAGGAACTTTTGTTGGGTTCGTAGTTTTGATTTTCTTACCACCAACCATGATTTCTTTTATATCATATCTTCCCTAAGTCATTAATTTTTGGTTTGAATCAAGATTATAAAAAGAATTCAGTACTCATAATAAGATTATGTCATAACGAATAGTTATTCCTTTTCAATCTTAATCATATCTATTTCACTAAATTAAGAAAAATAAACATACAGGTAAAGTTTGATTGTTCATTGTTCCATTTGTTTGTGTGATGTTAGTTTGAGCATAAGCAATAAGGATAAAAGACAATAAAAA